ACATGTACCCGCCCTCTACAGGGGGCAGCCCATGCCCAAACCCAGGAGGTAAACCCATTCATTCTCGAGCGGAGAAGAGCCAATACCCCAGACCCGGCCCAGGCCATGCCCAGCCGACAGGACACCCCCCCACCATGAAGAGGACATGCCACCGACCACCCCCACACACCGCCAACAACCAAGCACGTGCCCCCAGCCGACCGCCCGCCAGGCCCCGGCAGCCACCCCGGTCAGCGGGCCAACCATGGCACCCAAGAGCCAAGCTCAGGGGGTCCAAACAACTCCAGGGAGAGCACAGCGCCAGCACCGCCCACGGCAACTGCCCAGACCCCGAACCCCCACATAGTCCTAGTCAACACCCGACGGCCTGCCCTTCTCCCGGACCCCACCCCCGGAATGGCAGTCAGGGAACTAGGGGGGTAGGAAAAAAAATAATAATAATAAAAAATAAGACCCCGACACATACACCCCCGCCCCTAGATGTGCTGTTGATGTGTGTTGTTGTATAGTGCCATTAAAAAGGAAAGAAGAAGGAGCAAAGGCTGGCATGATGCCAGTTTCCCCTCCACCCCAACTCTATCCAAACCCTAGTGTCTAAATGCAACCATTGTAAGTGAGCGCAGGCACAGGGGGTGAGAGTAAGGTCATTCCACCACCCATAGCCATGTGCCCACATCAAGTTCCTATATGTAAATGTCATGAGGATGTTATGAATGAATGTCTAAGGTGTACAGTAAAATTGAGTCCCAGGTGGCTATGGTCAACAAAGATGTATTTTGCGATTAATTCAATTCAATTCAGTTTATTTATAAAGTGCCAAATCACAACAAAGTTGTCTCAGGGCATTTTACAGGAACATTCACATAAAAGCCAATTAGTAAAGTTCTCTATCGAAGGGATCCAGCAGACAAGATGAATCTTGGCTTCGTTGCAGTCTCCCATCCTGAGCAAGCACAGTGGCAACGGTGGAAAGAAAAAACTCCCTTTTAAAAGGAAGAAACCTCCAGCAGAACCAGGCTTAGGACAAGTGGCCATCTGCTTTGACAAGCTAGTTGAGAGGACAGGAAGGAGAGACAGACGAACATAGAATAGTAGGTCCATGTACAGGTCCAGGTCCAGGTATAGGTCCAGGTGTAGCTGAAAGACAAAAAAAACACATGTTAAGGATAGAAAAAATAATTACAAATACAAAACAGGTTGAGCAGAGTAAGTAAAGACAGCAGCAGAGTGAAAACTGTGGTCAGTTTGTCCTCCAGCAGTCTAAGCCTATTGCAGCATAACTAAGGGACAGCTCAGGAAACCCAAGCCGACCCTAACTATAGGATTTATCAAAAAGGAAAGTCTTAATCCTAGTTTTAAAACTGGACAATGTGTCAGCCTCACGGACAGAGATTGGAAGTTGGTTCCACAAGAGAGGAGCCTGATAACTGAAAGATCTGCCTCCCATTCTGTTTTTGTAAATTCTAGGAACCACAAGTAAACCTACAGTCTGAGAGCAAAGTGCTCTGTTAGGAAAATATGGAACAATAAGATCTGTAATATAAGATGGAGCCAGGTTGTTGAGGGCTTTGTAGGTTAGAAGTAGGATTTTGAATTCTATTCTGGATTTGACAGGGAGCCAATGGAGAGAAACTAAAACTGGAGAAATATGATCTCTCCTACTAACTCCTGTTAAGACTCTGGCAGCAGCATTTTGGATCAACTGAAGATGTTTTAAAAAAGTATTTGGACACCCAGATAATAAACCATTGCAATAGTCCAGTCTAGATGTGACAAATGCATGGACCAGTTTTTCTGCATCATTTTTAGATCAGATGTTTCTAATGTTAGTGATATTACGCAGGTGGAAGAAGGAGGTTCTAGTAACGTTTTTAATGTGGGGGATAAAAGACATGTCCTGATCAAAAATAACACCAAGATTTTTAACATTAGAGCTGGAGGACAGATTAATGCATCTAAGGAGGGAGAAATTCTAGTGTTATTAAGGTTAAGTTTATTTTTTGTTCTAGATTTAATTTGTTTGACATTCTAAAAATTTATTCTTATCAATCCCATATTGTGTTATTAATCTGTTAAATGGGATATAGTCTACTTCCTCATATATATGTTCCAAATATTCTATTCCTTTACACCTCCAACCTGGGAAGTTTATCATCTTATTCTGTTGTAGGATGTCAGGGTTGTTCCAGATGGGTGTACGTTTACATGGGATTAGTGAAGACTCTGTCATTTTAAAAAACTCCCACCAAGCTGTCAGAGAGGAGCTGATATTGATGCTTTTAAAGCATTCCTGTTTATTTATAATTTAGCTATAATTGGTCGAGGTCGTTTGTTATCGGGCTTCTTATCTCCGAGCCGGTGAACACGATAGAAAGTGATGTTTTTTACAGTTTCACTTGGGAGTTTCATCTGATGTTGGATAAACTCACGGATCGTAACTTCAGCGTCCTCCTCTGCTCGTTCTGGGATCCCAGAGAAGACAAGATTGTCCCGCATGCTCCGAGCTTGAATATCCTGAATGGACTCCTTCATTTTCCTGTTCTCTCCGGACAGCTGCGACATCTTCTCGGTGAGTTCTTTAACGTTACCCCTCAGAGTTTGGTTCTCTGCAGCGAGCGACGCCACCTGAGCTTGGCTGAACTCCAGAGACAGTTCAGTGCTTGGAACTCCTTGTGGAGAACCTCCACCAGGGCAGCCGGGCATCTAAGCTGGTTAGCTTCTTGTCTATAGAGCCCAGGACATCAGTGAAGCTTTTCTCTGGAGAGGTGGACGTGCTGGTTGAGCTCTCTGAACGTGTGCGTTTAGGAGTTGGTGTGGCCGTGGATGCGGTGTTTTTTTGTGGTTTACCCATCACGATGTTGTTAAAACACTCGTCCACGTAACTCTCCAGACTGTCCAAGGTTTCCTCGTCCACTTTGGTTTATTGAAACAATATGCAGAGGTTATTATTAACAATATTTTTACATTTACAAGAATCTAATGATTATTTCACAATTAATTTATCTTTATTATTTATCTAGCAGCAGTCCCAGCTGAATGCACGCAGCTCAAAAACTTCACTTTGTTTTCTGTAACTACAGACATTATTATCTTATTGAATAAGACGGTTTTAACCCTTTAGCTTTATTTATTTATGCATGTTCCTCAGAGGGAAAATCAACCACCTTTTTAACTGCTTAAAAATACTAGTTTTAAATATTTCCTCCACAAAAGGCTTGTCAGTCTTTTAGAGCTGTCAGCCTCAAATAAATATATCTAATTTAAATTATTTTTATTTTATTTTGCTTTAATTTTTGTTGTTGTTGTTGAAAACATCTGATGCTTGGTTCTGTTGGCACAGTCAGAGTGGTTCTGGACCCCTCCTGTACGCAGTCAGACCTCCTAGTGGGGCTCTGTGCTCTACTCCTCTTCTAAAACAAATCATGATCGCCCTTCATCATCACCCACTCACCTCCGCTCTCGCTGCACTTTATCATGCTGAACTCCATCAACTTCTGCATCTTTTCTTATTCTTACTTCTTCTTAATCATTTTGTGGCACTGGACAAATAAGTTGGAGCCTCCGTCAGAAAGGAGAGGGGAGCTTGTTGGCCTGTTTGGAGGTGAATGGGGTGTTTTGTGCCTCAGACTGCATCATCGCTGCAGCTTCTGCTCTAAAGACGCTTCACAAATGATTTTCAGAATAAAAGATGTGGTGGATTATTTGTCATAACTCTGGTTTGACTTGGCCAAGCAACACGATTTAAACTGGTGTGTAGCTTAAAGCCTGAACTTTAGACACAAACTTGAATGGAACTGATGAGATGCTGCGTCACTCCCAGTACACAGACTGAAATGGGTCATGTGTCTTTCACGCACCGGGGGGTCGATTTGCTCCAAAAGGGGGAAAAATCAGTCAGCGTGAGAAGAGAGATGTCCACGAGTTCTGGAAGGCAGAGCACCACTTGTTTGTAAACCTGTGTTTTGTCCCCGTGTGAGGAACAAACTCCATGGTGCATTTGTGAACGGAACTCTGCCGCTCCAGCAGAACCGGACCTTCAACTCTCCACCAGCTTGCTTTTGACCCGCCTTAGTGATTGGTCAAGACAGCAGGAGCTTCAGTGTGTTTGCATGTAATCCTTGTTGAGACGGACCCTGCCTCGCTCTCAAGTTGGAAAGCCAGCCCCCGGCCGCAGTGCTGTGTGTCTGTGCGTGTTGGTTTATAGACGCTGAGGACAAATTAAGGAGGAAAACGAAACTCACACGTGTTAAAATAATTGTCACACTAACCATTTGCTGCGTTAACACAATAATAACGAGTTAATGTGCACACCACTAATTTATTTATGTCAAACGTTCACTATTCAAATCCATGAGAGAGGTGGGACATCTGCGTACTGTTTGTATTGTTCTTTTTCCTTGTCTGAGGCAGCACAGAGTGACAGCTCCTCATGAGTGGAGGCAGCAATTTTATCCACCATCAGGTGCAATGATGGAGCTAGGGGGTGGCCAATGGGGGCCATATCCAACATAGATTAATCTTTAGCCACAATTCATTTGAGGAATCTGTGCTTTTAAGCAAAAGAAAACTGGAAAACAAGGTTTTCTCAAATGATAAGGGTGGCCAGTTTTCATTTATACTGTATATGGTGGTGGACATTTTGGATTTTGATGAGAACCAATTTTTCAATAGTGAACTTTCTTACTCCTCGATTGTGACACCAAAACGGAAGTTGTCTCTCTTCTTTTTCCAAGTCATCATGCTCACAACATGCATAGATGAGCTGAGGTATTTCCTGTCCCCCCCTCTTCACTCTGCAACAGGGGGCCAATAAATTGTTGCAGAACTTTATTTTTGGAAACGTAGAGCAGTGATCGATCTAGCAGATTTTTTACAGCACAGGAAACAGTGCATGACACAAGTTTACAGTCAGGGCTACCAGCAGATTGCTGTTGTTTTCTCATTGTTATCCTGAAACAACTGACTGGAAGTGGCAACACAAACCCTGTGTGTTCTGTTAGGAGGAGGTGGTGGAGCTGAACAGGAGGCTGACCACCATCGACTACCGGCTGAAGAAGTCAGAGCTGAGCAGGAAACAGCTGGAGGTGTCCAACAAGAAACTGCTGGGCTTCGCTCAGGTGTGACCAGTGTGACACACACACACACACAGTTCTGCTACCACAGCACTCACACGTGTGATTAATTAACTCTGCTGATCCACACTATCAGATCAAAGGTCTAATAAACAAAACCTGAATCATTTGTCTCAGGAGAAACTCAGGGATGTGTTCCTGGCTGCAGGACTTTGTACTGACACAGTCAGATGATTTATCAGGCAGAGCTGATCGTTCACTGACTGCAACAATCTGTAAACATCTCGTGAACCTGTGACGAAGTCAGGCTGCCCCCTGTGGACTCTGATGCTGCCAGAACAGAACCAGATCCAACACAAGGAAACTTATTCTGTGTAGACTATAGGGTTTAACATATTAATGAAAAAAATAAAGAACTGATTTAATGATTCAGTAATTATTCCACTACCCCAATAGTGAAGTGTTTATATTATTGGTATCGGTCTTAACAAAACCCTAAATAAAGTTATTTTCATTTGAAGGGACAGAAACCCAAACAGATGAGTCACAATAGGCTGAGAATTAATTTAGTGGATACATTTATTACCAGAACTGAGAATGAAAACATTTTACTGCAGACAGTGGCTCATACTGATCAAGTTCAATCAGTGGGGAACCCTTAGCGCTTCAAAATCAGCACATATGAAACGATACATTTAAAAATGTTATTTAATCATTATTCTCCATCCATCATCTTTACACACTTTTTTTTTTCGGGTCGTTGAGGTCACTGGTGCCCATGTCCAGCTATCGTGTGAGAGGCGGGGGACACCATGGACAGGTCTCCAGTCCATCACAGGGACACATAGAGACAAATGAGACAAACAACCATTCACTCTCTCACTCACACCCAGAGACAATTTAGAGTTACCAATCAGTCTAACATGCATGTTTTTGGTCTGTGGGAGGAAACTGGAGTACCTGGAGAAAACCCACGCATGCACGGAGAGAACATGCAAACCCCACCCAGAAAGGTCCCTGGACAGGGATTTGAACCAGGGACCTGCTTGCTGAGAGGCAGCAGCTCTACCAACTGCACCACTGTGCTGGCCCCGTTTTATTCGTTTGTTTTGTTGAAGTAATTCTGTTGAATCCAAAAGCCCTGTTTGATTTTCATTTGTAGATTTTTAATCATTTGTTTCCCATGACTTCTTTAGTCAGTTTTGGTTATTTCAGTAACCTTTGTGGGTTTATTTGTGTATATTTATGTATTTAACTTTTTTTGATGGTGTGTTGTTTCTCTCTGCAGAACGTCCATAATGTCCTGACTACTCCAAGTCTGTTTGGGGGGGAGGGCGGGTAAGAAACCCATACGTTCTCCTTTGCACCTCTCTGTAGTGTTGAGGACCTCCGACAAGTAATGTCTGCCTCTGTGTTTGTTCTGTGTCATCACGAGGAGCAGGTCGTCTCCAGTTACAGACAGTCCTGACGCCCTGTCACCACTTCCTGATCCCGCCTTCCAACTGGCTGTGGAGGCCAAACAACTTGTTGCGGGGGGCTGTACTGTTGCTACTGATGACAAAGGTACACCAAAGTACAACACAACACTTCAACAGTGTATCTTCATGCTTTTATAACTTTAATATTGGGGGGAGAGAATATTTCAGGGTGTATAACATCCTAACAGAGCTTAAACAATTCTGAAGAAAGGCTGAAGTGTACCATACTGCCCAGGGCTCCAACAAACTTTGATGTATGAACTGAAATGTTAAAATCCACCATTAATAAACATTTTAAAGAGAGAGTCTGGTCCTCATTAAAGAAGAGACTCCAGTTTGTCAAAACCCTTTATCCTGAACAGCTCAGAGGTGACAGTAAAAGGACCCCGACCCCCCCCCCAACATGATAAACCTCCATCAGAACTGGACCCAGACTCAGGATGAGCAGTCATCTGCTTCATCTGGCTGGGATTTGACAGGAAATGGACACGGACAAACAGGAATTATTCCAGATGTAGTTTCTATGAGAAAAACAAACAAACAAAAGATCATTAACAGCAGTTGTTGCATGCATAAAAATTAAGCATGGAGACACCAACAGTTAGGAAATGTGGTCCGTTTGTCCTCTAACAGGCTAAGCCAACAGCAGCACAACTAAGGGAGGAAACCCGAGCCAACCCCAACTATAGGATTTATCAAGAAGGAAAGTCTTAAAACTGGACCATGTGTCAGCCTCATGGACAGAAACTGGAAGTTGGTTCCACAAGAGAGCTGCTTTTGGAAATTCTAGGAACCATGAGTAAACCTGCAGCCTGAGAGCAAAGTGCTCTGTTAGGAAAATATGGAACAATAAATTCTTTAAGATGGAGCCAGGTTGTTGAGTTTTTTTAGTGTAGGACGTGTTTTCGCTCAAATCGCTTCTACGGTGCAGAGTGACCCAAACTGAGCTCAGAGTTTTACTTATTCTTTAAATAGCAGCAGACAGTCTTTTAATCTTTTCATGAGTGTTGAAGGTTCAGACAGTAGCTGCTTTGGCACCAATAATATTTGTTTGAATATTATCTGAACAAGGTAATTATTAGTTAGTGTAAATTAACTTTCTTGTGATCACATTTTTGCTTTGTTTTCCCTGTCTGTCCTGCAGCTTCGAATGCTGTCTCATGTGTCGGGTCTCATCATGCATGAGCCCCAGAGGACTGAAGGACCAGCCCATCACTGAAGAGGCTGAACCCAAGTGAACAGCAAGACTCCCCTTCAGCACGTCTAAGGCATCAACAACAACCAGACACAAAAAGTCCTAACTGTATCAGCAGGTGGAGTTGAAGACACTGCATGACCGAGTGCTCAACTCACTCAGCTGACATTCAGTATCCTGATATCTTCTGTAACCCTGTACACACACAGACGACACACTGCATGTGAAGAAGGGCTGGATTTCTTAGATTGGACAATCCTGAACAGTCCAAATACATCCCATAATACCTCGGTTTCATTCACCTCTGTTTCACGTTCTGGCTTTTTACCAAAAAGATTATCACCCACTGAAATAAATAAATAAATAAAAGTAATTAATTAATTAATTGTATATGTATATATATATATATATATATATATATATATATATATATATATACATACACACACATACATACATACATGTATACACATACACACACACGTACAGTGATGTTTGAAAGTTTGTGAACTCTATAATTTCTATATTTCTGCATGAGTATGACCTACAACTTCATTAGATTTTCACACAAATCCTAAAAGTTCATAAAGAACTATATATATATATATATAGGGCAGCACAGTGACACAACTGGTAGAGCTGCTGCCTCTCAGCGAGCAGGTCCCTGGTTCAAACCCCGGTCCAGGGCCCTTTCTGGGTTGAGTTTGCATGTTCTCTCCGTGCATGCGTGTGTTTTCTCCAGGTACTCCAGTTTCCTCCCACAGACCAAAAACATGCATGTTAGGCTGACTGGTAACTCTAAATTGTCCCTAGGTGTGAGTGAGAGAGTGAATGGTTGTTTGTCTCGTTTGTCTCTATGTGTCCCTGTGATGGACTTGCGACCTGTCCAGGGTGTACCCCGCCCCTCACACAATGATTTCTGGACATGGGCACCAGCGACCCCCGTGACCCAAAATGGAATGAACGGGTAAAGATAATGGATGGATGGATATATACACATATTTATATATATATATATATATATATACACATATACATACATACATATACACATACATATATATATATATATATATATATATACATATACCTTTATATATATATATACACATATACCTTTACATATATATATATATATATATATATATATATATATATATATATACACATATTCATACACATATACACACATATGTATATACACATATACCTTTATATATATATATATATATATATATATATATATATACATACACAAATACATATATATATATACATATTCATACACATATACATACATACACATATATACACATACACAGAATATCATGGAAGAGTTTTTTAACTTCCATAATTTGATTCAAAAAAGTAATCTTTAATAGATGATAGATTCAGGGCCCACAATTGAAACAATTTCAAGCATTTATTTGTTTATTTTTACATAATTTGGACTTCCAGCTCATTAAACCCATGAAAATACTATTTCAAAAAATTAGAATATTGTGGAGAAATCAGCCCAAATGTTGCAGAGCATGAATGTTGTAAACTGAGTGTGACACACTAATCATCTACTAAACTCAAAGCACCTGCACAGGTTTCCCCAGGTGTCATTAAATTGCTTCAGTTTGGTTCAATTATTTCAGTTTGGATCAATATGGGGAAGACTGCCGACATAACAACTGGCCAGAAGCCCATCATTGATACTCTCCATAGGATGGGTACGCCACAAAAGTTCATAGCTAAGGAGGCTGGCTGTTCACAGAGCGCTGTGTCCAAGCACATCAATGGAAAGTCTAGTGGAAGGGCAAAATGTGGCAGGAGAAGTTGCACCAGCAAAAGAGATGACTGTGGGCTTCAGCAGATTATCAAACAGAGAAGATTCCAGAATCTGGCAGAGATCCAGAAAGAGTGGAATGAGGTGGGAGTCACAGCTTCAAAAACCACCACATTCAGACGCATCCGGGAGATGGGCTAACACTGTCAGGTTCCTTGGGTCAAGCCACTTCTGAACCTGAGACAACGTATCTGTTTCCGATGAAAGTAAAGTGTGCCTTTCATTCAGAAATCAAGGTCCAAGGGTTTGGAGGACGAAGGGTGAGGAACAGGGCCCATACTGCTTGAGGTCCAGTGTGAAATATCCACAGTCATGATCTGGGTGCAATGTCCGGTGCAGGTGTTGGTAAACTCTGCTTTCTTAAATCCAAGGTCACTGCAACAGTCTACCAGAATGTTTTAGAGGACTTCATGATTCCTTCTGCTGAGGATCTGTATGGAGATGCAGATTTCATCTTCCAGCAGGACCTGGCCCCTGCCCATCCTGCCAGAAACACCAAAACCTGGTTTGATGCCACAGTGCTTGACTGGCCAGCCAACTGGCCGGACCTAAACCCCATTGAGAATCTTTGGGGTATTCTCAAGAAGACAATGAGGGGCACCAGACCAACAACAAAGAAGAGCTGACATCAAGCATCAAGGAAATCTGGGCTTCCATAACTCCCAGTCAATGCCACAGGCTGATTGCGTCAAAGCCACGTCACATCGAGGCAGAGATTAAGACAAAGGGATTCACAACCAAGTATTGAAGATTGACATATCGTTTTGAAAGAACCATATTTTGATTGATTTGTTGTGATCCTGATTTCTTTTTTTTTCTGCAAAAACTGAGAAGTGTGGGCTGATGTCTTCACAGTATTAATAAAGCACGGGCTTAATAAAGCATCTATCTTTATCTACTTTTAGGACTTGTGTGAAAATCTAATAATGTTTTAGGTCATATTTATGCAGAAACCAAATTATAAAGTATCCTGATGCATGCTCAATAATCCAGGTAGAAAAATCCAAAAAAGTTCAATCTGGTCCTCTGGACATTCAAAAAAACAAAACAAAGCAACAAAAGTAGATACGTTTCGTCTTTCATCCGTAAGACTTCCTCAGTCTGAGGTGCTGTATTAATTATAAATTATAAAGACTTCACAAATTTCAAACACCACTGTATATAGTTTTTTCCATTATTCAGTCTCACTTTGAGTCTTCTCAGTCTAGGTGGTTTCTGATACATGACACCGCCACGATGTAGATGGAATCATCATAGAGCAGCCGCCCAAAACTTCTGCAACCTTATTTTCTACCCAAGACAAATGTAACACATCAACGTAAAATTAAGTAAAATAAATTCACAAAACACTCAACATACTCAGCCATGGTTTCCAAAAATGTCATGGCCGATTCGAGGCCAGGTTTTCTCCGCCGGTCGGAGCCAGTACATGTGGTCTAGCTCTGTCTAAATATTGTTGTCAGCCAACAAGCACAGAAATGGCTCCGCCTCCTCATACCACCATGTTGGATTACATATTGCCATTTTAATGGATGGATTATATATTTTAAAAACTAAAAACTAAAAGGAATGCTGTGGTTGCAAGCTTTTAAAAACAGTGGTTATGAGATGCTCTTATGATTGACATCTTTCTTTGACCAGTCAGTGACTAACATCAAAGGTTTGGCTCGACTTGGGAGACTTGGTTGAATAGGTCTCTGAAGCCACTCCAGCTCAAACTGAGTCAAGACAAGTCAGGCCACTGGAAAGGTCAAACTCTGTGTGCTTTAAGTTCTTCTGCATTAAAGTTGCAAGGATTGTGGAGTTGAGCAGTAAGAATCATCTGCAGCTTCACATCACTGAGCGCTTCATGCTGATGCATCTCCAGCATCCACAGGAGAAGCTGAGAAGCTTTCTGTCACCATGGCAACAGCTGTGCACTTGCAGTTAGTACTCGGAGGATAGACGTCAGGCAAAGGCTACATGAGGAACTTGTTTTATTTCTGCAAATATGTTCAAATACGATTCAAACTTCTTACATGTGTAACAGAACCAGATTGCAACTTTAATGTGTGGCCTCATATTCTTTGTTGTTTTATAATAAATAATAATTAAAAAAAACAATGAACTTTGTAGTGTTTTCTTTACTCTTCCAGGATTTGGTTCCATGTCTCAAACACAAACTGTTATCCACATTTCCATCCATCCATCCATCCATCCATCCATCCATCCATTATCTTTTACCCGCTTCTTCCTTTTCGGTTCACAGGGGTCACTGGTGCCCAGGGGTGGACTGGGACAATAATCCAGGAGAGAAAAAGTCACTTTGGGAATGACTGTATTTAAGTTGTAGTTACATCTCCAGGCCACAAGGAGGCACATTGCACTGTGAGACAGTAAAGGTCATGGGCCTTCCCTCCAATGTGGCAGAATAGAGGGATTGAGAAATGTCACCAGTCGCCTGTCTCATCGTTTCCCTGTGTTTTACAGGTTAGTAAAGGATAAAAATTACAAGAAATGGGTTGCAAATTATTTTTAAGATAAACAGCTAAATGTGGATGTATAAATCAGTTGGTAAATCCTGTATTTTGTTGTTTTGAACTATGTGAATTAAGACTGAAAAAGCTGGAGTCAGGGTGATGCTGCGGGCGCCATTTTGATTTAGTTTTATGCTTATTTCAAGCTACTTTTTAGTTATATAAGCTCCGTTTTATATCCTGACGTATAGTAGTGTTAATATGCCGTTGGCAGTGAGCAACATGTTGACTGGTTTTAAATTTGTATATTGAGAATGTTGAAGGCTAAAGCTAAGCCTGCCAGCATGCATGGGTTAGTTCCATGCAATCTGTTGAAATAGATAGTTGTATACTAAGCACTGGTATATGTTTAAAACAGTCCAGCTGTGGGTATAAAAAACGTTTCTTGGTTAAAAGCAGAATAAAAAGTTATCTTGGTTAAAAATCAGAATTATAAAAAGGTAAAATGCATTAAAAATGTGTAATTCACATATTGTGAATTGTGTCATGTAAAAGGGTGATTTCATAGATATTGATGGCGTAAAGGTCACTGTACATGAAGGAAATGTATTATAAACCAGCACAGAAGATCAACATCATCAGGCCAGGACTCTGCGGTCTACACTCATCTCCAGGCCAGCGGTCACTCTTTCAGGGATGAAGATGTTCACATCCTGGACAGAGAGGAACGATGGTTTGAGAGAGGAGTAAAGG